AACAGAATTCCTATTTTCATACCTTATGACGAATTGCTTATAAGCAATAGATGAAGGTCTGTTCGGTTCTGTGAAAATATAATAAATCCTCATTGCTTAAACTTTGAGTAAAATATTTGCAAAATACAACATCATTGGTTGATAGTATGTTATAATTAAAGATGTAACATACACCTAAAGATCCTGTGACTCAAAATTTTTTGTTCTTATATGAAAAATCTTTGGCTTAAATAAAGAATTAACAATGTTAAAAGTTACAGAAAAACTTTTTGATAAGAATATTGCCAAAATTTAAAATTTCCGATAATAAAAGCTAGGGAGATAATTAGAAATCTGTTTTTTTGGTAAAAAAAATCAGTTTTGCATTCAAATAAAAATTTCAAAACATTTTTCCTCAAGAAATATCATATAATGTGTTTAATAATGTCAACTTCTTAAGTATATGTTTTTCATAAGAACTGACTTTATATACAACTTTCGCAAGATCGATGTTACATTCTAACCTTTTCCCTTATATAAGCGTGTTTCGACGGCTTTTTGCCCCCCCCCCCCACTTTTTGACGCCTCAAACAGTGAAAAAAGGTCCTATTTAGACCCCGAACACTGGTTTTCGTTTGAGAAATGTTGTTAAAAAAGTGACCACTTTTTCGGCGCCGCCCCCATCCAAATGTTACATCAGGGGGTTGCCTGAGTGGATTTGAAAGGGGGCGGAGTCCCCCTCATCGCCAAGAAAATTTTGGACATGTGACAGGCTAAAAATGGCCTGAGGTCGATCTTAGGGTAACTAGTAACAGACACTGAAAAGCCTTTTACTCTATCTCAATTCATTGAGAAGTTGCAGCACTTTAAAATCAGTTTTGATGGGAAAAAAAAACAATGCAAAATAGTGATTTTTGGCAATTTTGAGACGTCCGCCCGTTGCCATGGTAACAGGAATTTTACGATTGAGCATGCTGTTACAGAGGCTATGGTGTAGTCAACATTTGTGCCGAGTTTCATCAGTATTGAAGGAAGCATTTTTCATAGTTTCATAGCAGTTTGAACTTGTTACAGGAGGCTTTTCAATGAAACGGCCATTTTTTGCAATATGCTCATTGGGTAAAAACATACAGGATCTTTAAGCAAGAATATATATATCAACTTCCTTACAGCAAAATGAACATACAAGAAAATGTTGAAATAACACATATTTTTTAGGTTCATTATAAGTTTTTCTTTTAGAAATAATACACTTTTTATTTTAATGAAGAATAGGCAAAGTATTTATCAAAATGTGTTTCAAATTACCTCCCTTTATTTACAGAACTTTAAATTCGATAATATCTATGTAAGATTTGTAATATTGGTAATAATTTATTTGAGTATCATGTTTATCATATTAGACTATTAAAGTTTTGAGGTACAGGGACTTTAAAAGAGTATACATACGCTATTATTTGTCATTTGTCCTTTGTTGTATTTGTTGTTAAATATTATGCGTGTATGATAGTAATTGTATACAATTATTCAGGATTCATGATTTAATTATCAAAGTACATATTTTGTAAAACAATCATTTACAATGCGTGCAAAAATCAAGGATTTTTCCAAAGTGTCATGTAAGATTATTATATAAATCAGCTTAATGTCGTCAGTTGTTGATTTTATTCAACATGACAAGACTTAGTTATCTCTCCGTTTTATGTATTAAACAATATTCATTTGTTTAAGTTATTCAATAAGAGGTTGTTCATTAAAGCTGATAATATGTGTTACAAACGAGGAATTACTTCAATTTCACACGATCTTTCCCAACAGACCTCGTTCTTTTGCTTATTAGCATATATATACATACAGCGTACAAATAATATTTTAATTTGTAAAAAAAAAGTGTCTCTCACTTATTTGAAATAAAATTTGAATTTTTTAAAGTTTGAATATGTTAAATTTGTTAGATAATTAGGAAAAACTTGGGTTTTTAAAAATACCACCTGCTCATGCGTTCACTTTGCAAACCTATGAAACCACATGAAAAGTTCGGCTCATGCGTTCATTTTGAAAATTCGCTTAAACGATATCATACTCCAAAAATACGGAATAGAAATAGAACAGGCGTTTGGTGGATGAGGATATGTTAATAAAGAACCTTTAGAGCGATACAAATGTTTAGAAGTTTGCTTGGATGTCAAGTTATTGGCTATCAAAGAGCGATTTTACCAATTTTGTGACTTTTCTTGCGCAGTTGTCGATAATGATCTAATAAGTTAACAAAGATTTGGCGAGTTTGAGATGCCTGTCGGATAAAGTAATCATACGAGATCAGAATAGGCTATAAAGTTTTGTGAAATATGCATTTACAAAGAAATTGAAGACAATTTTCTTACCACAGTATCGGTTATCCACCTGTAAAACTGATCTCTTCATGCGTTCTCCGCCTGGGAAACATAGTGAACGATTGGACTCGGTAGTATAGGCTTTACATATTGTTTGTCCGACCTTTGAATATCTTTTCATATTATGCGAGCGGGTGGTCTTTAATTATCTAATCTCAATTTAATATAATCTTCTAATTTAAAACTCAGTTAAATTTACGGTATATTGAAAAAAGATAATACTAAAAGATATTTAGATGTAGCAGAAACGTTTTTAAAAACCGTTACAAGATCGAAAATATACGCCGCAATCTGCGGTCCCGTTCTCGAGTTCCTATGATTGATAGAGGAATACTTCAAGTGACATTATGCTCATTTCTTCATCGTAAAGTAGAGCTGAATTTACTATTATATATTTCAAAAGATTGACTGTTAAAATGGTGATTGATCAACAGTTGATATTGGAAAATCTATAGGATAAATTATAAATCTACCTAAAATATAAAAAGACTGTCCAACTTTTTTTTATAAACTGAATGTTACAAGTAAATTTCAATTTTTATTTATGGAAATGTCCATGGGCTATGTGAGTTATTTATCATTCATGCAAAGTAAGTTAAAAAATTGAAAGGAAGTAAGGCAAAATGTAAACTTTGTTTGTTTTCAACTGTTCACTGACACTCACTATATACCCTTGAATGGGCATAATGTCACTTTCATTTATTCCAAGCATGAATGTGCATCTGAGTAGAAATAAGAAAACCGCCTGTATGCCAACCGGATAGTTTTGTCTCTTAAAAGAAATTCACCCCCTTGTAGGGATTAAATTTTGATTATTTGACATAACTTACTTAAATATCTTTCTACATAATTTCATTCTACAAAACTAACTAAAATTTCTTTCTACATAACTTAGATGTCTTTCTGCTCACTTTAATGTATTTCTACATTACCTAATGTCATTCCACATAACTCACTTAAATGTCTTTCTACATAACTAAATATTTTTCAACATAATTTAAATATCTTTCAACATAACTTATATCAGCTGTGTCTACACCTCTGTACGGGTTTGAATCTTGTTGGAGCAATGAGGGATTTATCCAACTAACTTATGAAATGTTCCATATTTCACCTACTAGTATATGCTGAATGCTTGCAGGCATGTGTGTGTAAGAGAATGTGGAATAATAATGTCTGGAAAGTCCTTATATGACTAGTATAGAGTCTGTTTTGTTTAAACATTATTTATTTAAACACATCAATGAAGAAAGCTTTGAGCTTACTTAAACCACTATTGAATCTGCTTCCTTGACCTAAACTGTACTTTTATCAAATGAGGAAACATTTTAATGACCTAAGTGGGACATAAACCCACACTCCCTGGGTTCAGAGGCAGTCTCTATATCCACTGCTTGGTGATCCTTAATGTATGTGTTACTTAAAGCTATATAAATAAACAATACATATACAATGTACATTGCCTTGCCCAAATGTATATACCTTGCCCCAGTGTACATTATCTTGCCCAAGTGTACATTACCTTGCCCTAGTGAACATAACCTTGCCCCAGTGTACATTACCTTGCCCTAGTGTACATTACCTTGCCCCAGTGTACCTTACCAAGCCCCAGTGAACATTACCTTGCCCTGGTGTACATTACCTTACCCCAGTGTACATTAGCTTACCCAAGTGTACATTACCTTGCCCCAGGGTGAATTTACCTTCTCTCCTCATCACAATCTTTACCTCGCCATGAGTAACCCCTCAATGTCTGAAAGAAAGTAGTACAACCTTCATGTAAAAAATCATCTTTGTTATACATATATTAAAAACAAGTTTCTGTTGAAAGCATGTCTTAAAAACCCAGTTTAATTTGCACCATTAATCTTTACCACAAAGCATCTCTTTAGGAAAAGGCATATGTTTTTCTGTAAAATATTGTCCGACAACAATTTTTGTAATTGTATTTATATGTCACTGCCATTTCAAGTGATCTATGTGGAGCAGTTGGCAGTTACTTGTGGAAAAAAGAGCTTAGTATTGGAACATAATCCAAACACACTAGAAACAATGCTAAGAAAGTGGTCTTGAATCTCCAAAAGGGAAATAATTATGAAAAAATAAAGTTTTTTAGGGGCGCAAGCCCCCAATGTAATTACGATATATTCAGTATACTACCTTTTGAACGCATTTAGGCTATCTAGCTGCGCTGAGCAAAAATAGTTCCAATATTTTGCAATAATATTCAGATCATCATAAAACCTTATCTAATTTAAAATTGACTGGTCATTTTATTACTTAATTTTAAATCCTTTTATCACAAAATTACAAATACCATTGCTTTACGCGATTTGAATATTACTACGCTAGCAGTCGATAAAAATTTAATGAGAACCAGTTTATTTGTCCTACCTTCTGGTTCCCGATGCATGAGAGCCAAAGTACTTGCATAAATTTGGTGCCAATTTTATCAAGTCATAAATTAACTAACTATCATAGAACACAATAATTCAGGAAGATGGAATACGATTTTCAAATTAGATAACTTTCAAGCTTAAAATGGTTAAAAAGTGTGAATGACAGAGTAAAAATTTGTATGCGTATGAATACGAACTATTTTCCCTCTGACGTCATTTTCCCGAAATCGCCATCTTGGTCAGTTATTTCGAGAAAAGGTTGAGAAGATTTACTATCAATTAGGAAGTCCCAGCCATTACGTTGATATTTTGGTTGCAATCTATTCCGTATGTATAATCAAGTTTTCTTCACAATCTGGTAAAGCTATTGATCACTGCGGTATACCGTACCCCGGATATTGCTCGATATTATGAGGACTTTCATCCCATTTCGCGACTTTGAACGGGGAACGAAGGTAAGTTCAGCGACGATATTTTCCAAACTAATGGCTATTTCATTTATCTCAACGGATTTTATATATCTAAAGGTATTTTTGTAGCTCTAAAAGACGTAAAAGTATTACAGGTATTTGTAAAATTGATTAAACTACCCCTAAACGATCCGCTGCTCACTAGAAAATACTGACCGCGATACTGTAGAATCGTTAGATATTATTTTTTTACCAATATATCAAAAAAAATTGAATCGAGCAATTTTTTTATTCACAATCCAAGTATGCCTTGTCCAAATTTCAGGCAAAAAGTGTGAAAGTACAAAAAGATACAGGCCAAAAAAGATACAAGAAAGTGTATCGAGTATTGATTTTAAGTGTACAGAGTATTGCAAAATAGCCCAACTTTAGTGTACAGAGTATTGCAAAACAGAATGAGCACATTAGTATGGAAAATCGATATTTTTGTCTAATTTTCACGTCTGTTAATCGATTCAATTTCATTTTTCTGATAATGTACTGTTGATATGATATTTATTTAAATATTTCAGATTTAACAATGCATTTTCAGTGTTATTACTGTTCTTTTCCTACGGGCAAATGCAGAGATTTAATTTCCCATTTGATTGAAAATCACACTTTGGAAGAAATAAAGTGTGTGCAGGGTCGGAAGCAGGCTAGAACCATCAAAATAGACGATAAAAAACTATAAATACATATCTCAAGAAACTTTGATCAAGGAGACCCATGTCTGAAAAGGACAAGAATAAAAAAAAACATATTTAGATGACATTAATGATAGGATTTTACAGGGCAAGTTTGCCTTAAGAAACATATCGACGCACTTCATAAAATATTGGCCCGAAGGCTTATGCCATCCAAGCATGCCGGTATCACTTTAACCTTTTACTGCATGAGCATAATGCGAAAAATGGCTGTTTTCATTGAATTATATATAATTAAGCCTCTTGTTACAAGTTCAAACAGCTAGGAAACTATAAAAAATGTTTCAATACTAATCAAACTGGGCACAAATGTTAGCTGGACAATAGCCTGTGGAATAGCATGCTCAATTTCCAGTTACCATGGCGCAGGGGAGGGGGGTGGCGTCTCAAAATTTCCAAAAATCTCTATTTTGCGTTGTTTTTCCCCATCAAAACTGATTTCAAGGTGCACCAACTTCTCAATTGATTGAGATAAAGTCTAAGGTTTTCGGCGTTGAATACACGGTACCTTAAAATCGACCTGAGGCCATTTAGCACCCCACAAGTCCCAAGTCTTCTCGACGATTAGCGGGGCTCTTGCCCCACTTCAAACCCCCAAACAGAAGGGGGAACATCCCCCATGTGTAACCCCCTTAATGTACTTTTTTAATGGGGGTGGCGCCGAAAAAGTGATCACTCTTTTGAACAACATTTCTCAAACGAAAAAACAGTGTTTGGGGCCTAAATAGCGCATGTTTTACACTATTTGAGGCATCAAAAGGGGTGGGGGTGTAAAGCCTTCAAAACACGCCTTTATGAGGAGGAACATAACCTTTTTATAATCTTATCAAAAACCATTATTCGGTTTTTTGAGCTGTACCCGCTCGGCAGTCATACCGTAACTCATTGCTAAGGCGTAACAAAATTTCACGTGCAGACGGTCTGCCGTTGCTAGAGTGCAGGTGCAAAATGCCTGAAAGTTACCTTTATATGGATTTTTGATATACATGTAGTAGGAAGTCGGTTGATATTAGATATTGGCACACTTGCTCAATACCGTCTAATATTGACAATCTTGAGGCAGTATTAATGCACTTTGGATTTTTTTCCCTTATGAAAATCATGGAGTTGAATAATCTGTGTGAAAGCGCAAAGAGAAAGAGACTGAAAATTAATTTATTATTTCTATGGACATTATTATATAGATACATTTGTAATCAAACATGTGGGTCAATTTTCAACAGTAGTTGAATTATGACAAAGTATTTTTAATAATTTTATTTCACTTTTAGCAACTTGAAAATTTCATGCTGGATGTTTGCTTACCATTACATTTTGCATAAAGAGCTAGCTCTATGATTGACATTAAAGTCCACGGGCCAATTCATTTCTGATATATCTTTCCGATATCTTGTTATAATATAAAAGGCTGAACGTCATCGTAGAATTATTAGGAAAAAATATATATGTTCATTCTTTGTAAAATTGTTAGAAGACTTGCAAGTTACCTATTTTATCAATGCATTTATTTATTCTTGAAAAAATGCTGAACGGCTATCCTCAACAGTGTGTATAGGCTAGAACTTTCAGTTTGCATTTAGGGTCAAAATATATTGTTACAGTCATGACAGCTTTCCTGTTGCTGTCAACAAACTTTAACCTTTTTATAACTTTTCAGATCTTGGTGTATTGTCTTCATACTTGGCCACAACAACCCTTCAAATAGACCAGACTAAACTTGACCTCCATATAAACATTCAAGGTAAAATATTTAAATTTTCCTGATTTTTGCTATTAGTGGCTATGACTTTGTTATTTTTGAATGGATTGTCTTCAAACTTGTACGCAACAATCTTTCAGGATAGGACCTGATGCACTCATTAATGTCCTTGAAGCTTTTGTGATCAGAAGTCGAGTAGAATAATACAAATACAGAACAATTTCATTTACTTGGTTTTGCAACTTCTGAGACAATGGATTTTAAAGATAGTTGTTTTCTTAAAATTTAAGGACAGTATAGTAGATTGAAAAGACATTTTAAGATTTAGTACATACTGTATATACATTATAACTACTATAATATACTATAAAAATCTTTGTTCTTGGACAATTTTGAACAAATTGTTTCTTAAACAGTGTAAGAAATTAGGATTTGAATCGACTAGCCTGGTCGGACTACCAGTTTGGAATATTCACTAGCCCAAAAGACATTTCTCTGGCACAATTAATTTGTTCAAAACAGTTGTTTATATTGCCTCTTAAAATACAGTAGCCTGGTCAGGCCTGTTACTGTGAAAAGTTGGTAGCCCGAGGAGAAATTTAGTAGTCGGGCCCTCGGACTACTGCTAATTTCTAACACTGCTTAAATTATTGATTTGACTATTGATTTCAACTAACATAATTATTGGGATACTATATATGTATATCTAATAATAATTATATTTTATCTTTCCGACTTTCTGTTTCAGATGGTCGGCCTACATGTCAGATTTGTAAATGTGAACGGCACGATATCGATTTTAAGGATGCTTTAGGGTCAATGAGGATGAAATAAAATGTGAGACTGTCAATCTGACAAACCTTGCAGTGAATAAATGGTAAAATGTTTCTTTCAGTAGCATGGCATTTAAGGAAGCGGTACATGATGATTTAGAAGTGGTTGTATATGATATTTCTTAATTATTATATTCTAATAGCTTTTTTTTCTTGACTTGTTTAAAGGCTGACACAGGATAGTCTATTTTAAGTCAGTGAGCTTCTGTCATTGGATAGACTATTGTCACAAAAATCCAAATTTATAAAAAGGAATTACAGTGAATTTAAATATCATCTTATAGAATAGAAATTAGGAACAAAATTAATAACAAGAACAATTGTGACATGTAACATGTACATTTTGTATTTAGGAATTCAGCTTTCCTTTCCTTTTCACCTCAGGTGAATTCACATTAAAATAATGACTACTCACAATAAGCACTCCAACATATCTGACATATATGATTATCTTATCTTCACTTAGCTGTCTATAGCTTATCAGAATCACTCACATTTATAAATTTAAATGATTTTGAAAAAATTGCTGCTTAGCAAATAGATAAAATACTTGGGTGTCTGTGGCGATTGGTTGACTTTAAACCTTTAAGCCTTTCACTGCTGTAGGTTCGTGCTCTGCAAGTGTTTACGGATCATTTCATGTGAGAAAGCTATCTAGCTCATTTATGGAACATTGATGGTACCCAGGTGCCTGAAATCATACACATAGGTGCACCAAGGTCTTCCTCAAGCAGTAAAGCTGGAAATTGTGCTTTAAATTGCCCCCACCCCCCCCCCCCAAAAAAAAAAAAAAATAATGAAATTTTTATTTTGCTATTAACTTTTTCTAAACAAATATTTCAGGAAACAGTGGCGTTTGTATGATAGAACAGTAATAGCAGGAGTGATAAGGACAGATGCATGTAGATGTGTCTTCATGTCGGAAACACTAGAGAAATTGACACATTTGGGTTTTTCAAAACTTAAAGAAATTGGAATACCAGAAGACTGCTTGCCATTTGCAATGTTGGAATGTGTGATGTCGAAAGCCTCATGAATATAGTAACTTGACTTAATCTAATAAGAAAAAGAAAAGACATTGAGGAGAAAACTAGTCACCAGTCTTTCACCAAGAACATGAGATAACTTTCCAATATTTGAAATATCATAATATGTATAGAACTTGAATGAGCGACATAATATGTATTGATATTGAATGAGCGACCAGTTTTTCACCAGGAAAATAAGATCACTTATCTATTTTTGAAATATGTATGAACAGAACTCTATCAACTTCAAGGTGAGAGTTTATCATGAAGAACATGAGATAACTTATGTATGAACAGAACCACATTTGAATATAGAGGCGCCAGTTCATCACCAAGAAGATGAGCTAACTTATCAATGTTTGAAATCTGTTATACCCCGCACAACAAAGTTGTAAGGGGGCTATACTGGAATCAGCTTGTCCGGCCGTCGGGCATCCGTCGCTTTTTTCTTGTCCGTCCATAAAATTAAGATTCCTTTGACCCACAGTCTTCATATTAAGCATGGAGGTAAGTCATGATTAGTAGATGACCTCCATTAATTTTGAGAACACCAAGTCAAAGGTCAAGGTCACAGGGGTCTTGACTGAAGAAAGCTTTTCTGCCCAATAACTTAAGAATCCTTCGACCCACAGTCTTCATATTTGGCATAGAGGTTAGTCATGATAAGTAGATGTCCCCTATTTATTTTCAGGTCTAAGGTCATGGTCACAGGGGCCTTGGCTAATTAAAGCTTGTCCGCCCAATTACCTAAGAATCCTTAGACCCATAGTCTTCATATTTGGCATGGAGGTTAGTCAAGATTAGTAGAATACCCCTATTGATTTTGAGGTTACTGGGGCAAAGGTCAAGGTCACAGGGGCTTTTATTACAATTAGCTTGTCTGCTCAAATGGTCTCATATATTCATCATAAAACACCTCCAGGCAAGGCTGCATGAAATGGGTGGGGAGGGGTGTTATTGAAGTCATTCAATGGCAGTTTTAGTTTTGAGGTCAGTAGGTCCAAGGTAAAGTTCACTTTGATCTTTTCCACTAAAACATGTAGAATATATAACTTAGCAATGCACTGGCTTACTTCCCTCAGATTTGGCTGAGCTGTAAATGACTACTGTTGATTCTGACAAATTGGTATGTGGGGGTATTCACGCCATGACAATGGCAGTTCTAGTTTGTACAGAAAATATCAAGGTGCAAGTTTCTTTTATTAAGAATAGACTTATTGATTAGATAACTTACAATATTTACAAACATTTATAATACCACACCCATTTAAAGTATTTCAGCTGAGATTGTATTATCCAAAATACATGTATTGTTATAATGTACTTTATAGTATATTTATTGATATATTTATTGTAAAGTTTTGATTCTACTAGATTTTAAAAACATTTAGATTTTACTAGATCTTGAAAATATTTTGTTCCATGCTCTTTCATTTAATTTTGAATAATGAATCCAATAAATACCTATAATAAGTATAGGATTAAAATTGATAATGTTTTCTATCTTTAACTTATATAAAAAAAGTAATGTTTAAACTGCTGGTTAGATTTCAAACAGGACTAAACAGGGGTGTACAGTGCCATCCTTAGTTGTGCACATTGTTGGCATGTTCTCATTGTCGGATACCCACGGCCGAACCATTAACATTCATCATTGATTGCATGTTATGTGACATGTTTATCAATTGTGGGTATCCAACGATGGCAGCCATGTTCTGTTTCTCTGCACAAAATGGCCCAAGAGTTAAAAAAAGAAAAATCTATCACATGTACAACTGCCAAAATTCAAAAGAGTGATCAGAACCATACACAGTTTTGGGAGACATGTTTTTGTGACAAAAGCCCTTCAAGTTCATATATGACCTTGACCTTTATTTGATATAAAATATCTTTGGAGTTAGCTGGAATTGTCATTACTTTGTTATTTTTTACAGATTTGAATCATGCTTGAACAAACAAACACAGAACCAACTATTTGAATTTTTCTGATATATGATAACTTTGACCTTTAAATGACCATTACCTACAAGGTCAAACAATTGAAATTCACTCACATTGTCATAACTTTGTTTTTGTTAACCAGGTTTTCAACGGAAACCGGGTTATTGTAATGCCAAAGTCGGCGGGCGGACAGGCGGGCGGGCGTCAACTTTTGGTTTCCGCTCAATAACTTTAGTTTGCTTTGGCCTATTGACACCAAACTTGGTGTATGGATAGCATATATAAAGAGGCAGCTTGGGATTGCTACCCAGGTGTCTGTGATCAAGGTCAAGGTCACTGTTACTAAAAATAGAAATTCAGTTTCCGCTCAATAACTTGAGTTTTCTTTGGCCTATTGACACCAATCCTGTTGTATGGATAGCTTATATCAAGTGGCAGCTTGGGATTGCTATCCAGGTGTATGTGATCAAGGTCACTGTTACTAAAAATAAAAATTCAGTTTCCGCTCAATAACTTGAGTTTGCTTTGGCCTATTGACACCAAACTTGGTGTATGGAAAGCTTATATCAAGAGGCAGCTTGGGATTGCTACCCAGGTGTCTGTGATCAAGGTCAAGGTCACTGTTACTAAAAATAGAAATTCAGTTTAAGCTCAATAACTTGAGTTTGCTTTGGCCTATTGACACCAAACTTGGTGTATGGATAGCTTATATCAAGAGGCAGCATGGGATTGCTATCCAAGTGTCTGTGATCAAGGTCAAGGTCACTGTTCAAAAATAGAAATTCAGTTTCCGCTCAATAACTTGAGTTTGCTTTGGCCTATTGACACCTAACTTGGTGTATGGATAGCTTATATCAAGAGGCAGCTTGGGATTGCTACCCAGGTGTCTGTGATCAAGGTCAAGGTCACTGTTACTAAAAATAGAAATTCAGTTTCCGCTCTATAACTTGAGTTTGCTTTGGCCTATTGACACCTAACTTGGTGTATGGATAGCTTATATCAAGAGGCAGCTTGGGATTGCTACCCAGGTGTCTGTTATCAAGGTCAAGGTCACTGTTACTAAAAATAGAAATTCAGTTTCTGCTCAATAACTCGAGTTTGCTTTGGCCTATTGACACCAAACTTGGTGTATGGATAGCTTATATCAAGAGGCAGCTTGGGATTGCTATCCAGGTGTCTGTTATCAAGGTCAAGGTCACTGTTATTAAAAATAGAAATTAAGTTTCCGCTCAATAACTTGAGTTTGCTTTGGCCTTTTGACACCAAACTTAATGAATGGGTAGCTTATATCAAGAGGCAGCTTGGGATTGCTACCCAGGTGTCTGTGATCAAGGTTAATGTATTTAGTTTTCATGTTATAACTTGAGTTTGCTTTGACCTTTTGACAATAAACTTGCTGAGTGGCAGCTTTGGATTGCTACTTAGATATCTGGGAGCAAGTTCAAGGTCATTTGCTTACAATAGAATTTTCAGCTTCTACTCATTAACTTCAGTGTACTTTGACCTATTGATTGCTGTCACATAAAAATTTGGTCGTTGAAAACCTGGTTTTCGTCGCATTGCGGCGCTTTTTGTCTATGATTTGATTCATTCTTGGACAAAAGAACAATTATCATTCAACTATGACCTTTACTATTCAAATTTGAAATTTACTTTATACATTTATATTATGTTTTCTAGGAGTACTCTAATAGATATTACAATATTCTCCTATTGATGTGTTTGACTTCCAATGTAAGAAAAAGCCGAGCATGGCCCAAGCTAGATAGTGGCTCTTGTTTTCAATGCCAACTTGATTATATGTATCCATTCCAATTTACATTCTCACATGTATTATCTATTGTGCTTGAAAGGTTTCTACAAAAAATAAGTTTGTTCTTACAGTCCTGGTTTTATTTTAGAAATATTTTATAGACAGTTAAATTTTCTGTTCATTTTCTATCTGCATAATCATTTCTTGGAATAAATATAGTAAGTACACTAATTTATGTGTTATACATTCACATAAGGAAGTACTTTACATGAAAATTGGTTAAACAACTATAGTTTCCCAACAAAATCCAATGTCATAATTTAAAATGTTTATTCATGATATACATGTATATGATATCAATTATGCATTTTGCCTGGGTTTGTTAGTATGTTCTTGGTACATGATTTTCAATTTTGACAAGAGTTTGGAAGCGATACTATTATATTGTGTACAAAATGGGCACTTATTCAACTTTGAAAGAAGAATAATATCAGATTGGAACACCTAAAGTAGATTGCTATACATATCTCGAATTTAGCACATACTGCGCCCCCATCAGTGCTTTCAGCACTTTGATTATTTATACCAGTTACATTCCCTTGGTTTAAAGTCCTGTATCCATATGGTTCCAAACTTTTCAACATTTGTCTGTAAGTGCTTAAGTTCCATATAGTTTTATAAATCCCTCTTCTAATAAAATATGAAATAATTCAGCCAGTGCTGAACAGTATCTTGGGTATTCCTCCACAAATTAAAGCACAAGGATAATCTTTTTAACGTTGTAAGTGTGACTTAAAACCCAATAAACATCAACAATAAATTAATTGAAACAATCAACTTAGTCTGGTTCCCAGCTTCTATTGTAAACAAATAGAAGTCTGGCATTGACGAAACAATGGTCGACGCGATGATAGCTGTAAGTTAACCAAATATTTTTAAAAAGTGGTTCATCGGGATATTGTTGAATTTTTAATCGATATGTATATATAAAATTCTTAAAAATGACGTTTATTTTCGTGGAGCATTTTCACATGTTATTTTTTTTTAACTTCAATAAGTTGAGTACTTTTCGGACAAATACGAAGATTGTGATATTTCGGATATGAAATCATAAGTTTTCTTGTAAAATGATTTTGTTTTGTATCGTGATCAATACGAATTGATAATATTGTAATGTTAACATCGCGCATCATTTTAAGCTTTATTATAATAGAAATGTGGCCCAAACGGCACAAAAACACGCTTAAAATAACTTACTGCAATACTGTCAACTTTTAACACTTTCAATGATTTACCTTAGGCCAAATCCTGGATCCGCCACTGCACCTCACACACATTTATGAACATAGAAATGGATATTAATTTTAATTCAATAGAAGCTGATTGTTAGTATTTATACATGTATAGAATGTGGTACCCCCACCAATCTAATTAAAAATGACCTGGCTTTTTTATGTTTATAATAAAAGTGTCATGTCTTTTTTCTGTTTTCAGGATATAAGTAGCCAGTCAATC